ACACTTGCCCTTATTGAATTTCAGTGTGTGAGTCTTCAAGTAGTCATTGTTGATTTTACCAGACTGTGAGGCAGAGACTATTTTTCTGACTAAAGGCAGGCATGCAACTGCATGCGGAAGAGATGCGCATAATGACACGCTTCATTTGCACGTACAAACTAAGGACATCTCCAGCAGCATCTCCAGGCTGGGCCTTTTATACGCCTAGGTATCTGGTTTGACTGTGCAACCATCAGGGTGAAGGGTGCACAGTCAAGTGGAAGCAAGCATACCATTGCCTGTTAAATTATTTCCCAGCAGCCTGAAGCAGCGAGTGATTGCTATCCTCTCTGTTTTATAGATGACAACAGTGAGAGAACTTCCTGACATGCCCAAAATCACAAAGGGAGCCTGAAGCAAAGGCAAGTTTTGAAGCCGTGCCTTCAGGGTCTTGCTCCAGCGGCTCCGCTGCAAGGCACATATGCCTGCTCTTGGCTTTAACATTTCATAGAATATGCATTTGGCAACACAGTTTTATTTTTTGTCTCAGTGAGATTGAAAAAAACAAGATCATTTTCATTAAATTCTCACTAGTTTAATGGCCAATCTAATACTGAGAGAATGCAGACGATGAAGTTATAAATACCATTGCAACTCAGTGCCTTTTGAAAGAAATAAGATTGAAAGATGACAGGAAATTATAGTTCTTTGTCTTTCTCTGATCTCTGCGGACGAACGTTGCTGAGCAGCAGGAAGTGCTCCTCACAGGCTAGCACAGGGATAAATGGTCTACCCTGCCCTGTGGCTCCTGCACCAGCCCCTGCTGCTGCCCAGTGCCTCCACCGAGGTAAGGAGGACTTACCAGCGTTTAACTACATGCTGCCTAAGGAAAGGGGCTGGCAGAACAGGTAATCCTCCAACAGAACGTTAGCAAACTTAGGGAATCACCTTGAACCCACCCCAGAGCCTTCTCTCCAGCCAGCATCATGGGGATGGGCAACACATCTTACCTGTGCTGTCGCTGCCGTGCCTTTGCTGCTGATGCAAGGATTTAAGCTCAGCACGGGGAACTCTTGGTCTTCAGACTTGTGTGACTCCAAGCAGCTCTGCCTTTGCCTGATTATCCCAGTCTGATAGAGTGATTCCTCAGGAATCCTGTGGGAACAGCGTGAAAACAACACCCTACTTCCCCAGGCACACGCTCAGTGGGGTAAGGTGGGTGCAAGTTGCACCATTTCACCTTCAGAAAATGAGAGTGGCAAGATCTGTGACAATACTGAGCCACTGAGAGCAGTACGTGGACAGGGATGCTGCAGAAGCAGCACTCGGAGATGGATGGATGGCCTTTCTACAGGGAAAAAATAAATAGCACTGCAGGAGACAAACAGAGGAGCAAGGAATAGACTGTGAGCAGGCTGAAGGTCAGCCTTCAGCTTACAGGAAAGAGGAGCTTTATAACAAACCACCACACAGCTCTGGCATTCCCTGTGAATGCTGCTGTGCAATGTCACACGTGGGGGGGAAAAAAAAAGAAAGAAAACAGTTATAAATCATTTTCACACTGTGATTCCACACTCAGCCATTGCACCAGCAGGTCCCTAGATGTATCTCCAAAACATTTGCATCCTTTTTGAGGATGGTTCCTGATAGTGACGGAGGAACAGATGCAATGGTTTCTGGAGTAATTTGGGGGACTAAAATGGATCTGTGCAAAAGCAACTGTGGAGGTGTCTATTAAGCAAAGTGTTAGGCTAGAAGTAAGGCAGAGCCACATGAATACAGTTCAGAAACTCCTCGAGTGGATGGTTTCACAACAGAGAAGTCCCTAGTAACACACAAGAGTGTGAAAGGACTGGAAGTTAGGTGCTTTTTTGGTAAGCAAAAGTCATTAAGTACTGAAACAACCCACCAGAGGCTACAGTGGATTTTCTACCTTGGGATATTTTCTATGTCCCTACACTGCCTGTCCTGCTGTGTGGGCAGGGGGATTCCTGAGGGAGCCCTAAGAACTAAGAGGAATGACTGGTGCTTTGTCCCTCAACAGCCCTGCAGCGAAGAGCCACAGAGTCTGTTGTAAGGCTTCTTAGGGAAAGCAGGATCCCAAATGAACCATGTCCCACTGTGAGCAAGCCGTGTTTACAGCCAGTACAAAATTCACTGTGCATCCCGCTGGCTTGCTAGAGATAGGCAGAGATTGCACATCCATACCGAAGTTCGGGATAAACGTTTTCCAGGTACCACTTGAAGGTACGGCATTTCAACCTCTTCCGCAACTCCATTCTGCTCTGGATGCTGTGGGAAGAAAATATAAAGTTACAATGGAAATCAAGAAGGGGAGACCCAGTGCACCGAAAAGGGAGGTTGAGAGAAACCCAACAGATAGGCAGAGACATCAAACACAAGAGCATCAGCAGGTCTATCTCCTGCATGAGCTTGGGTAGGCGTTTTGATCGCTGTGTCTTTGGAGGTCTCACCTGGTGAAATGGCATGATGACATAATGCTATTTTAACAAGGAGCCTGGAGTTTGGAGGCTGAAAAGGTTCATGGAAGAGTACAGTCATTTAAAATTTATTAGTAAAATATGTCTGCTATATGCAGTATTTAATATATTAATGTACCAGGAAATTAACATATGCTATTATAAGCCACTCTTAGAGGACTGCAGAAGGCCTTGATTTCCAAAAGCACCTAAACATGCCTTCAAGTCAGCAGAAGTTAATCACATGGTGAAATACTTCTTTCTTTCACTAACCACAGCAAAATTTCTGCTGAGGGATCATGCTGTATAGTGACATTTTCCAAACTCCAGCTCCTCCCTGGGCCAGCCTCTACCTGTGGAGCTGTTATGAGCTGTTATTTACAGAGCAGTAGGAAGCCTCCAGTACCTTCCCTTCACATAGGCTAACTTCTCTACACCCTCATATATTTAGCAGGAGAGAGCTGTTACTTCATTTGGTGTTGGTGGATGGGAGGAAGATATGAATTCAGTGGAAATAGATTAGTCAACAGGATTTCAATTTATTTATCCTGGAGATTGAAGAGTAGCCAGAAGGAACTTGGGTTTGGATTTGGAAACTTCTGTGGCCCAAAGGAAACTTTCTGAGGAAACGAAAATGATATGAAAATGAAATTAATTAACACAAATACTTGCAGTACTCCTGACAGGGAGGCATTTCTGACTGTTCACAGAACAAATGGCAAACTCCCTGCATCTCAAGCACTTGCTCCTTACCAGTACAGACTTAGTGGGCCCAAAATTTGGTGACTTCCCTGTCCTTCAGCTGACAGCAAGACCTCTGGACTCTCCCTTCCAAACCCTGCCCTGGGACCTAGTGCCAAGTGCAGGACATAGGCAGAGGGGGTTTTCCCCCAGCTTCATTTGATTCACTCCCTGGGATGAACTAGCACAGCATATGAACTAGCTGTTTATCTGTTTTTTTTGCTGTGCTCATAACATCTGCCTACCATTAGCATTTAATTGAGCGTTACTACAGAAACGGTGCAGGCGGGTTCCTGCAGCAGGGCGATGTCACCACGAACACCCACTACAGCAGGCAGGGCACAGGCAGGGCACAGAAAGACACTCACTTTCCGTAAGGCCTCCCTTGGGCTGCAGGACGAGCTGCGTAGTAGTACTGCTTGAATTCGTCCATCCACACCTCCGCGGTGCGCTTGGTGTTTCTGAAGGTGGCAACGAAAGACAGGTGAAACCAAGGAAGTCTCCAAGGTGACATTTTCTAAAATGCATTGACAGACCCATCCTGCTCTCATCCCATCCTCAACCTGGACTTTGGCTTCACCCAAACTACCTTTGAACAAGCCTATCCTTCTCTACTGGAGAAGGTACTCCTCCTCCCCATTACTCCAGGGACCGAACACAACAGGTCGAAGTTTGGGTGAAGAATTCACCATTTCAAACTCAGTTGGACGCTTTGCATCCATCACCCTCAGAACCGAAGCTTCTCTTAAGCATTATTTCCAAGGCAGGCGTGCCTAAGGTTTAATTAAGTGGCTGGGATGGAGCTCTGAAAAGTGGTGCAAAATCTCCCAAAGGCTGAAGGCAAATATCTCCTTTGTGTCAATCCTTTACGGACTCTGCTTCTTCGCACTCGTGCATTTCACTGAGGCAAATCTCAGTGTTCAAAACTATAGAGAAACTGCCCCAATCACAGTGCTGGAGCATAGATGTCGGTCTTCTACATCACCCAGCTCTCCGCAGAAGGTCTATGAACCTCAGGAAATCTGTTGACTTCAGATGGCTCTAAGTCTCCTTGCAAATGGCTTTGCAGCCCCATGCCTATCCACACATCCCTGCCTGGGTCAGGGGAGTTCACCAAGCTCCAGCTCCAAGGCAGTGCCTCTGAGCTATTGCTATCAAGCTACTGAGCTGCAGGTGCTGCAGGGCAGCCTCCGATCCAGCCGAGTCCCACGTGGCCAGAACAAGAGACTGTCTGCACATGGACCCACCACAACACTGGAGCCTGAGCTGTCTCTCACAGTGAAGAAGAGCCTGTGTGGAAAAAAATCAATATCTGGCAGAAAGATGGTGATATTTTTTGCTAACATCTCTGTTTAAAGAGAGGTACCACATAGCATCAGGTTGCCAGAAGCTGCTTCTCCTCGCAGTCTGTATACTACAACATTAAGTTTAAGGCTGGTAGATACCATAAGGTTAATAAAAGTCCCAGCTCCTAACGCCTAGAGATATGCTTCTTCAGACCACTTTCCAGACTCTCGCTGATTCCTGGTGACTCTTCCTCTCTCCAAGGCCACTGCAATAGTCTAAGTGCTCTTGCTCAAGAGATGCCGAAGTCAGTGTCTCTGCATCTAGCCTTCCCCAAAGTTCAGGGCATTTTTGTCTTGGCTTCCTGATCTCACTTGGGTTTATAAGAAACATGGGGATAAAAGCCAGGGCTCACACCTATGTGTTGCTTCAGAGCTCTCCAAAGTCCCTGTGCACCTGTGCCAGGGCGCAGCCAGAAGAACTGTCCCCATTCAAGCTCCCTTTGCTTCTCCTGAAGGTGATGCAACGCAGACGCTGCCTTTTCACTCAGGTTTGCAGCAACTCTGACAGTGGAGATTTTGCCATATCCCAGCCTCTTCTGTAGGAGTAAGAGCCCTCCTAGGGCCTCCCAAATCTGTGCACTCCTCCTTGATGCCAGCAATGCCCTGTGCCCCTCACCACCGTCTTTTGGAAGCACGGTGACAAGGTCCCCTTCCTGCCCCACACTCTGTGTGGGTGGAAATCACGTATTAGGTATAACTGAGAGGTGTAGTTTACGCTCCCTGGGTTCGTCATCTCATGCAAAGCACAGGGAAGTAATAGAGAGCCCAGGTTAGGCAGCTGCAAGTGTCTGGGGCTTCACAAATACTGTTGGCTTTTTATAACACTGAGAAACACACACTAAAAGGAATGCCTGGTGTGTAAACACACACAAATGCAGTTTAGCTGAGAAACAACCCTGCATTAAGCATAAGTGCCCCCGGTGTTTTTCTCTGTCATTTACTTAATGGAGAACCTTCAGCCTCAGGCTCTAAAAAAGGAGGGAATCCTTCCTGACTTCACTGGCTGCTCCCATCATTTTTCCCATGCCAATTCCCACTTCTGGACCACCTTCTTCCTTGCCTGATGTTTCCAGGATCTTAGACCATTTCAGCTGGCCATTGCACTATTCAAATTCAGTCTATATTGGGTGTGTGAGGACAGATCCTTCCAGTTCCTTCAGTGTTCCCGTCAGTGAGGTGCAGCCCATTGCTGCCTTTGCTCCATCCCGGCGGGGAAGCCATCCACTCAGACACGCTGCTCGGCTCCCCTCTCAGAGAGGCATCAGGAACCAAATTTTCTGGTTCAGCTGAGCCATGCTCAGCCCTCGGCTAAGGTCACCAGGTCCTGACAGACGTTGCTGGCAACCTGGTTTCGGGTCATTATAAATGTGTTCTGACAACCTTAGGGTCTAAACCATTTGCTGTTGCGGTAGCTAGTGCTCAGGGGCCGTCCCTCCATTTCTGTGCTGATGAAAGGTGCCATATAAGTGTCCTATTGTTGTCAGATCCTCAACACTGTAGAAATCTTAAGGGAGAGTCGTACTGAATTGCCTTTTCTTTGGCTCAGGAGATTCCTGCCCAGGGATATAGAGCAAAGTTTTCCAAACAAACTTTGCTCCCTGTATCCTTTGCTCCATCCCCTCCACCAGAAAAAAAAAAAAAAAAGGCAGCACCTTATTCTGTTTCACAAAAAACAAGCCCAAAACACTTACTTAATGTATGTATTGGCATTTCCCTCTGGAAAGATGTACGGATGTTTCTTCCGGAATACATGTCCAACACGGCTGCAGGGGATGATTTCCAGGCTCCCTCCACACATCCACACACGAAAAGAGATTTCTACAAGAGAAGCAGCTTCAGCATTTTGTTTTTCTCTCCTAGAGCAGGCTGAATCCTGGTGTTACCTCTCACTTCATCCTCTGCCACCTTAAAATGGGGTAAACCAATTACCAGAGGGGCTTTACTAGGCACAACTGCGTTAAAAGAGCATTTCAAAACTTCTTGAGATCTGAAGTCAGTGCACTTGAAACCTGCCTATAGCACAGCAGGTGCTATCACAATGGCAAGAGCGAGATGGTAAGTGGGTCCCTTTTCATGCAGCCCTGCTTACATTGCAGAATCATCTTGCCAGTTTTGTGCTTCCCTAATTACTCCTGCACTGCCTGTTTCAGAGTCACTTCCCTCCAAACAGCTGTCAAGTTCACCAGGAGAGGCCAGGAACTCTGTTTATTAACGACTACAATGGCCATGCACACATCACCTGTCCCAAAATGGACAGTAGCGCACCCTGCCTGGCATGTACTCCAGCCCATGAGTGCCGATGTTGTGGTCCAACAAGGCACACACCTTCACACAAGGAAAGGTCAGTGGGAGGGGTTATACCAAAAGTCTGGATAAGCTGTCAATAAGGAAAACGCCTCCTTGTTGTTCCGAGCCACTCTCTGGCTGGTCCATGGGGCACATCCCAACGAAAACAAGCCTGTGGCATAATTGACACGAGAAGTTATGGGGCTCTTGGTAGGGAGCTGGCTGAAATCCTGGCTGGGAGGTAGGACAGGCAAGCAGAATGGCTGATCTAATGGGTCCCTCTGGTCCCAACGCTCATGAAGCTATGACTCTGCAGCTATATGCTTAGACAGAACCAGCATGGAAAAGAAATTAAATTAAAAGGTAACGGCTTCTGTAGTACTTTGAATCCTATTTTATCATCTGTTGACAGTATTGAGCTACAAGTAGCATGTATCTACTCCAAAACTACAAATTTATTTTCACTACCCCCCTCACATTTACCTACAGAAGCCAGACAAGAGGACACCCACCGTCTTTGCCAGCTCATGCTCCTGGCAGTCCCCTCACATATGCCAGCACAAGGATGACTTGTCCCAGGCCAGATACTGGCAAGACAAGTGCCTGTGGTGAGAAGGCCATTTGGACAGTGTGGACAGGACTTCTCCTCCTCCTCCAACGGCAGGTACTGCTGGCCTGCAAAGCTGCCATCCCGCCAAAAACTACTCACAGCCTCCGGGAGCAAAGGAGAATCGGAGCCTGGACCTCCAAAGCCTCCTCAGCACACATGGCTCAGCCATGTTGCTGCAGAGGTGGGAGATCCATGTCGCTCCTGTTTCTCCTCCCAGCACTCCCACCTGCTTCTGAGCTGATGGAAACGGGAGGCTGGCACAGCCACAAAACCCTCTTGCCTTGACACCCGAGTCCAAAATTCAAGGCTTAAGCCCATCCCCATCAGCTGGCCCTGGCAGCAGGGGCCAGCAAAGGCTGGGGTGGGAGAGCCAAGCAGGGAGGAACATTTCTTTCCAGACATTCCCTCCCCCTCCCCTCACTGCCGTGTTCACAGGCAAGAGCTGCAGCTGGAGCCTCACCGCTTTCCCCGGCACTGGGTATCAACAGCCCAATAAAATGTGCCCTTGTGCCGTGTCCTGGTGCTATATTGGGAGGAATCTTAATCACAGTGGCAGGGAAATGGGATTACAGCAGGATGTGGCCTCTCTAAGCTGTCGCGCTCAGCTCCCCTCACACGTGGCCGTTGCTCTCATTTGTCCGCGTGTCACCGTGCTGGCCACCCTGCCAGCGCTGCCGTGTAACTCAGAAGCGTGCCCGATGAAAGGGGACGGGAACCACAGCCTGGCTGCTGCACCATGTACCTTCCCCTTCTCTGGTCCGTCTGATCGGCCTGGGAGAAGAGCAGATCCCTGAAGGGGTAGAAGGGAAAGACTTGCCTGCTCCTCATTTAAAGCCTGATGAAAAGGCGGGCTGAGGTGATCTCCATGTACTGTGAATTGGAATGAGAACAGTGGTGGAGAGGCAGGAGATGGTGAGGAGTCTGAGCGCCCTGCTTCAGACACGTCGCACCCTGCAGACTCTGCTCCAGTCCCAGCAGCAGCAATTAAAGCACAGGTTTCAGCAGGTGGGGACAGCCCACGGAGCCACCCATGGCAGCTAACCAACAAGGTCTCCAGACAGGAAGCTGAGAGCTAAATGCCTCGGGAGGAGGTAAACCGAGGCACCAGTGAGGGCATGGCAGGGGTTCAGGGGAGCAGGAACCGACAGCACACTTCACCTGCCCCTCGAGACATGTCTCCAGTGTGGGTGGTCCCTTCAAGCGACCCCCAGGAGAGATGTGAGCAGTACGCATCGGTGTGCTTGGCCTTAGCTTAGCAAAATACTTGCTGGTCTGCATGTCCTTCTGCCATTAATCACCAATTCACCTACAGGGGATCAAGTACATTTAAGATGTAAAACACCTACAACATCCTCCTCCTAACCCAAACACACGTGATTTGGTTTTGCCTGAAGTCTCCAGCCCCCTCTAGCTGCCCAGTCAGTAATATTAAAGGGAGCAGTGATGTTTCCCAGGACCAGAGTCCTGCATCCCCACAGGACTAAGCTACCAGAAAATCCACAGTTCACTGCAAGTGCCCAAAACGAGCCGCCGCTCAGTCAGCTCTCGCTCCCTGTCCCCTGCCCAGAACTGATAGGGCCAGCGGGGCCACAGCTGCCCATGCCTGTGTGCAAAGGGGAAGTGGGACACGCTGCCCTTGGCTGCTGCCTGTGGGAGATACAGCTTTGGGCCAGGCACATTCTGCTCTCAGGGCGACAGGCAGGATGGGACAGCGAGCGCATGTTTGGTTGGGACCAGCCCCCCGAGGGCACAGCACTGGTAACGAAAACATCCCATTCCGTAGGCCATGACCGCACGTAAGGAGCTCAATGCCTGCCATTGCAGGACATGAGACAAGCTGCTGGGATGCAGCTTCCCGGAGTGCAGGCTGCCCCACCGCTGTTCATCTCCCAGGGGCAGCTCGCCTGGCTGCGGTCAGAGACGAGTGGCGAGCAGAGATGGACAGCGAGTCAGGTACCAGATGGCAGTCCCTCTCCTCCTGTCTAGCTCCCTTCCTGAATGCTTTTTTTGGGCCATTGACCTAGTGGGGGAGGCAGGAGGGCTGCCACCCCTCTCCTAGGTTTCCTCAGAGCCACCCCACTCAGAGGAGCAGATGCTTTGGGTCATTCTGGCACAAGACACCCACCCACGGAGAGAAAGCCTGAAGGAGTGAGATCCTACTGCATAACGAGATATAAATAAATAAAATATGTTAGGGGAAAAAGGCATGTGAAGAAAACAACAGTGCCAGGCAGCAGACAGGTTACTGCAAGGCAGCAGCATCTGTTCCCTTGGATGACTGACAGCATCGCTGTATGTGTAAAGACACAAGATCCTTCCTTCCTTGCTAGCCACACTCCCCAGAGATGTGAGCTATTAAAGCCGGGTTCTGATCTGTCGCCCTGACAAAGAGTGCCTCCCCCTTCTTTCAAGGATACAGTCTATTGCTCTGATCTGGAGCATTGCTGCAGCTTCAAAGAGGGAACAGCCCAGCCTGATCCAGCTCCACTTGACATCGGGACAAGGGACAGGCTGTTACCTCTTTCATGTGCCCTCTCAAGTTTGCGCACAGAAGATTTCTTAATGCCCACCTTGCCTGGTGATCACGGACAGAGGTGGCTAAATTTAGGTCAGCTTTTAACCTTTTGTCATGCAGGAAAAATGATAGCATTAAGGAGAGCCTGGCATCGCTCAGTCATGTAGCAATGCAGGAATGGATGAGCAGCCATGCTACTTTGTCACCTCCTTGCAGCATGCTGATGGAGCTACTGCTTCAGGCACTCTGCAAATTCAGGCAGGCACCGAGGCCTCAGTTCATAGCTTCTAAATGCTGTTGTCAGGCAATGGAATAAACCACATCTTTGCTTTATTAATGAGAAAATAAGACCAGGAGGGAATAGGAGGGGGTGTGTGTTGTTCTCTCATCTGTTGGTAACACCAGAGCTGAAAACTCTGTGGTCTGTATTTACCTATATTCACCTATATTTAGTCTATATTTACCTATAGAAAATCAAAGCAGCGTGGAAGGCAAGGAGTCACAAATACCAAGAGTTGCCCATCTCCCATCCATGGCTGTAGGATCCCTTACTCATCTGAGACCATAACCTATGAATGTAAGTGAGGGAAAACATGCAAAGCATTCAAAGCCAAGTCCAAAATGACCTTGCAATCCACCTGGCATGACTCAGGGAGAGAAGACAACACAGCAAGTCATGGGAGGAAGAAAAATGACTCACCAAAGTTCTCCCCACCCCAGATGTCCATGGCACTGTCATACTTCCCCAGGTGGTTGAACCAGGCTTTGTCAATCACAAACAGTCCCCCGGCAATGATGGGAGTCCTGCAGAATGGATAAGGGAAGAGGGGACACACTCTCAAACACCGCTGCAGCACCTGGATGCACAGAGGCAGCCCTTCCCTTTGCCTCCTTCTCCATCATCAGGATATTACCTATGTATCTCTTCACCAAAAAAGGACAACACACCTCAAAAAGCATGTGAGCTTTCCTTTCAGCTGCCTTGGTATTTTGCTGTCAATCATAAATTGCCTGGCACTTAATGACTGGCTAATGCACTCGTCAGAACAACTCCTACAAGCCCAAAGTTCACCGCCCTGATTGTAGGCTTCAGCATCAAAAATGCACTTAGCTCTTGGGGGGTTATTCACTCAGATGGGCTTTTTGCCTGGAGACAGCCTATTAAGAGCACCATTCCACAGGGGAGGGGAAGGCAGAGCCAATTCAGAAGGGCTTTTTAAAAGCCATCACTAGCTGTGTGATCTTTATTTCAAAACAGGGTTATTTTTCATTCTCTGGATTAGCCAAGAACACTGCACAGAGAAGGTCCGTGGAGGAGGGGAAGGCAGACCCAGAAGACAGCTAGAGGGGACTGACTATTTGTTGGAATAAGTCCCATCTCCATTCAACTGCAGACAGTGTGGATGCCTTAGGGTAGGCCTGGGAGGAGCTGGGGTGACTGCTGGGCCCAGGCTAGTCTCCACAGTGCCCTACATGGCAGGACAACCAGGAACGCAAGGCGAGCCTCGGAGAAGCCAATGAGAGCTCCTGTTAACAACAGCATCTTAAGAGAAGCAGTGCTTTGCTCCTCTGAAAGCTTTCTGAGGCTCTGAGCTTCCCCCAGCACTCTGCCTCCTCCATGCCGCACACCCCAGTGCTTCACGGCTGGGGATACAGACGCTGGCACCAGGCTTGCTGCCAGGGGAGATTTTCAGCAGAAGGAAGGACTCCCTCCATCCCACATCATAAGGACAGATGGCATCTTTCCCGTTCAGTCTTGCTGTCTCTTCTGCACATCCCAAATCTCTGAGGAGCCTTCAGCATGGTGCAGAAGAGCAGCACTGATCTGGAAAGGCTGGACTAGACACCAGTTTGTTATCAAGTGGGCTGAGGACACTGCCTTAAAAACTTTTCAGTGACAGCTGAGTGAGAGACGCAGGAGTCTGGAGCACTGGGCTTTTTCCCTAAACATATTCAGCTTCCTTAGCACTACCAAAACACAAAAAACCATCAATATGCCCTTTTTACCTTCGTAGCACCCTCAGGCTTCAGTGTTGGAAGGTGAAGCTCTACTGCAAAACCCAGGAGCTCGCTATATGTATTAGAAGTTCGGAGCTGTCCTGGAAGGAATGGCACAATGCTGTGGTGCATGGTGATACACACGAGGTCAGATGGGATGCCTATCCTGCCCCACATTCCTCAAGTGCCTCCTTCCCCCTCTTGACTTACTTAATGGGTTCGGTGGGATCAAGTCGTTTGGCTTTTTGCTCTGGGGAAAGCTGCTCCCATTTGAAGTGCAGACTCCAGTCAAAACCTAAAACCAAAGCAGAGCAGTACCATGGGGCAATTAGAAACGGGTATGGATTAGGAGGCAATGCAGGCTACACAAGCCGTGATTGATAAGGTATTTTCTCCCCTTTCAAATGACTTAAGCCATGGAGATGCAGCTCCTGGGAGAGGAGTCCAACGACTAACATATTTTACTGCTGCATATGAACAGGAAACAACATACTGCATTACAATTGCAAAGTCAAGCACTCCAAAGGCAGGAAAATTCAGAATTAAAGCTGCTGCTGAAACCTCACTTTGTCCCCTTGTGCACACAGATACACGCTCTGATGGATATTGCGTGCTACAAATAGCACAGGCATACTAATAAGCACTACAGTCACATCCTCCATTTGTTGCCTAGACATCCCCCATCATCTCTTCTTGGCAGCCCAGCTCTTAGTGCTGCCCAGGGTGGCTTTGGCATGACCCTTCTTTCCTGCTTGACCGCCTTATCCACTGTAGCAAACACCATTCCTCACGCCACACTTACCTGTCTCTAAAACAGCCTGAAAACAGCCAGCGGGGAGCACTGAACAGGGCTAATGTGCTTTTTGCAAGATAGCAGGAGCCAGTGATGTGGTGCAGAGCCACCAGCTCTCGGGCCAGTACACATTCACACCACGGGATGGATGCCCACGGAGCACGGACTTACCTCCTCTGAGGTCTGAGGAAGCTGCCACATAGGCAAAAGTGTCCAAGTTGATGATGTCGATAACAGGGCTGACCACCCGGGTAGGATCCTGGAAAGCAGAAGTGAAACGACACGGGACTTCAGATCACACAGCTCAGATCGGTCAAGGGATGCTCTAAACTCCTGGAGACACCAGGTGGCTGGAAATCTTGGTGTCACTCAGGTTTTTAGGGACAAGTACCAACCACTGCCTCCTCAGCCATCACAGTGGTCCCACCAAAGAATTAATTGCTAGGAGCCAGGAACACACTGGCCAGAGAGGCTGGGAAGGCAGGCACTGCCTCTCCTGGGAAGACTGTGTGCTGCTGGGCTGCTGAGCTAGAATCTCTCACCAGCTTTGGCTTCACCCACTCTCCCCCTCTTCGCAGGCTGTGCGAGTGCTCAGCACCCAACTCTGCTGGGTGCACAGCTCCGTCTGCCTTCTGCAAACTCACCAGTGTGTTCGTCTTTCACCTCCCTTAAACACTTCTCACTGGGTTGCAGAAACCAGGTGACAAACAGCATTTGAAATGACAGAGGGAAAACACAGGCAGTCAAGCAGCTTAAATACAGGGATTTTTTTAAATTCATGGGGATACAGTTATTTGGCAAAGGTGTGAAAGGGTTAAAAAAAAAAAACCCTGAATTATTTTAAATAATTGATTTAATTAACATCATGTTATGGGCAAAGAGATTATACAAACAGTTATGAACAAAAATATCTACAGGAGGAAGAGACTCTGACAGCTTTGACTGGTCTCTTATCTCCCTTTTTCTTTTCAAAAATCCCAAACTCCAATTATAGCTCAAACTTCAAGCTTTTACCCTCACCAGATCAAATTGTTTTTCACAGCCATGCAAAGGAAAGCTTCTGAGCACACACAGCCTTGCTCTCTCGCTCGGAAAAGATTTCATTTGAGAAATCTGTCCTAACAAAGAAGTATTCAAATGCAGCTGTAGGAAGAAGCAACCAAAGGCCATGAGCTGGGAGCTGGACTCGAGCTCAGGTTTTCCAAATGAGCGTGGCAAATACTTGGTATTTCCATAACAAGGTCAAGTCAGGAGTCTTAACACGGCTTTCTGTGAGTCAAATATCCCACCGAAAGGGCAAGGTCTGCTGTACCGACGCATCCCATGGGGAAACTCAAGTCACGTCCAAGCGCAATGAGCCTTTTAAAGCCATCGTAGCTGCCACACAGTGCCCCCAAACTGTCACAGCTCAGTATACCCAAGCCTTTAGTTGCCTCGGGGTGGGGGAAAGGTTTTAAGCAAAACATCTGCTTTGCGTGCCGAATGCTGCAGGGAAAGGATCGTACCTAGTCAATTAAAACTTGCGCCTCAAGCATCTTACTGGTGGGCACTTATAACTAGCTGTCACTCATCACCAATTTCAATTCCACTCCTACTCACTGCAGGCACAACTTCTTGCAGGAAAATCCCCGGTACCTCTTGGCTGAGTGCATTACTGCAAAACGCCTGCCTTCAGCAGTGCAGCTTTCTTCCTGCCTCACTTTCCCTGCCGTGTCCTGGGAACATTTATATTTACTCAGCTTTCGTGAAGGTCTCTCTGACCCTCAAGAGAAAAGCACGGCATGCTCAAGAGCACAGCGCTGTTGCTATGATTTATTTTGGGCTGAGCACCAGATCTTATTATAGGCAGCTTCACCTCTCTGTTTCTTTGATACCCTCCCCCGTGCCAGGGCATGTTAATATTAACGACGCCCAAATCTTCAATCTTCTTTCACACAGCATTCTCAAAAACCTGAGAATGCATTTCTCCAATACACTTCTCAAACAAACCAAATTATGGAACTAGATCAACAGGGGAAAACTCTGAAAATGGTCCTGAAGGCAATGGATACGTTTCAACCTTGGAAAAAGATCTGGACCCCAGCTTGTCTCCCAACCTCTACATCATGACCTTGGCATGGTCAACAAAAGGCGCAGCTCCTCCAGCCCCATGGCAACATTAGGGAAAGCAAGAGGGCCAGGCTGCCCCTCACCTGCCTCCCCCTGCCCTAGGAGAGCACCAAAGTAGGGAGGTGATGGAGCTGGAGGTAGGGGGTCACCATCCACTGGTTCATCCCAGTGCAATTTGCAAACCCAGTTTTGGGGCAAGCTCATTGAGTCATACTGTAAAAACACCTTGGGCTGAACAATTACATTTTTAATAAAAGTTATTCAGTCAAAATGCATTGCTAATGGCTTTAGAGATATTTGTTCTGTAGGTAAAAACAAGAGCCCTTGCCCACACGCTCACAGTCATATGCTCACACACGCGCTCATGCAAAACACCCACCGTCACCGCCGCTCCCTGGGACACGCACCCTCCCAGGCACAGGTCTGAGACCCCCCAGACCCTCTGTCTTCCCTCCCCACCCCATCACTTGCTCTTAGACCTCCAGTCCTGCTTGTTTCCCAATCCATATGCTGGGCACGTGCTGCCCACACCTGAAAGCCAGCATCAGCCCGGGAGGGATGTGGCCGGATGCTGGGAAAGCGCAACGTGGGGCTTGAGGGGCACCTTCTCGCGGGTGCACGGTGGCACACCTGGGCTTCTGGCGTTTCCCACCACGGAAAGCCGCAGGAATAGCTGCTCCATCTGCGAAAGGCAGAG